GTAGCGGCTGCAGCAGCTTTGAGGCTGTGGGGAGCTGCAGAAGTAGGAAACTGGTCAATCTGTAATAATATTCCCGGCTGGGAAAAATGCCATGTGGTAAACCATAGACCACAATAAGAATGATAGTTAATCACAAGCTACCACACGGACTAAAGACATACTGTTACAAGCTATCAGAGTGTAATGTGAGGAGAGACGTCTCAGGTGAGTTTTATTTTACTCTTTAAAAATTAATTTAAGTGAAATGTGGCCCCTTCTGTCACCCTAACTACCTTCTGAGAGCGGATGTGACACAGCCCTGCACTGCACCTGTCAATCTCCAAGCCCTCACTCCAAGGTGCTGATAGATGAGGACCTACAGAGGAAATTACAGTGTTATCTAATCAGACAAAGCCACACTGAACTGATCTGCTACTGCTTTTACAGCAGCTCTCTACAAACCACGAGACTGCACCGCATGGACTTTATGAATAGGCCGAGGGGATGTTTAAGCCCCGGGGAGTCTGCACGTCTTGCAGCTGCTTTTAGCGTTGTTAAGATTATCAAAATTTCATCCTCTGTGTAACACGAGGACAAGATTGCGTCTTATCCAGCCGGGCTGAGGGACTGAAACCTAAAGCAGAGATAGCGTGCGAGGACAGAATAGTTCACCGAATACGGGCAGGACCCAGGGGTTAGGGTAGGACTTGTAAAGAAGGTGAGCCCTTCCCTGTGAGGTCGGAGCACCAGGCTAAGCTGCAGGCAGGAGAAATCAAGAAAGTTTTTTTCAGTAGAAAGTAGCTGAAGATGGATCCTGATGAACTTGACTTACAAGTTGAAATCTGCTACTCCTGTGGGAATCAGGGAACATTTTTGCAAAAGCTCACTGGGCTCAAATGTGCAACCATGTTGTGAAGTACACATCAGGGAGGCTTAGCTTCTCTAGTTTTTAAGATTTGATAGATGCTTGTTCATAAGCGCAGATATGGAAAGAGCCATTAGGCCAGCGGGTAGTTTCCTTCTTCTGAGACATGCTCTGCCCTTGAGACAGCTCGAACTTGACCAAGTGTCCTCGATCGTCTATTTAAATAAACAAACTAAACCCAAATCAGTCCCAGCGTCATATGCGCAATATTTAAAGCAGGCCAAGATAGTCTGGCAACCGAGCATAAACAAGACAAGACCAAGAGTTGATTTAACTACAGTCAAACCCACTTCGCCTCGAAGCCAGTAAGGTCACACGCAAGGAAGGCAAATGAGCTCCAACAAACACGAATACAAAGCGGTGAAACATTAATGATTACAAGTTATTTTACTGATCCCCTCGAAAAAACAGACAGCAGCAACTGAGCAGACAGAAAACACACCCAGGATGAGGTGGAGGAAACATTCATGATGGAAACATTCAGTTGTGCTTTCAGTGATTCAGTGTTACACAGAAAAGCTGTGAATAGCATTTGGCTGAAACACCTGATGAAACAGAACCAAAGTTTCCCGAAACTCAGCAGCGATCTTGGATTGGATCCAGTTAGTTGGGTTGAAGCACGCAGCCTATCAATGGGAGGACACCAGTCATTTTCACTTCAGTGATCACTGGGACATTAAACGTGCACGACTCCATAGTGAAGCGGGTTCATGTCAGAAAGGGCCTCAAGTTAAAACTCTGCCACGTCAATCAAGCAAAGCTACCCACTGTGGCGCCCCCTTGTGGTGAGGAAGCAGGCGAAAATAGCTTTTAGAAATGGCTTTAAAAGGCAAACAAATTTGTGGCAAATATAAGGCGTGCAAGACTTTTCCCGCAAGTTTTAGTTTTACAATGCACGGTCACAGTTTCATAATATCACGAGATGACGGGTGATTAATGCTGATTGGATCTTTGGGATGGTGGGTCTTTAGTATTTCTGAATTCTCTCCTAGATCCTTCAAGATTGTTTGAGTGCCACATCTTCTCCTTAAATAATGTCTGTGCCAGTTTACATTTTTTAAATTGAAGGAACAGACTAACTACATTGTAGCTGCAAGAGACCATGATATGTCAGGTAAATTCAGAAACTCGAATCATGACATGCAAGCTAACCATTAGCACTGTAGAGTGGGCGTGTCCTTAGTTAGACTAATCTCAACTTTGAGGCTGGCTTAATGATGTGTTCCACATTAATTCAGAAGTCAGGATCTTTGAGTTCCCAGTTGGAATTTTTGTTGGAATGCCCCTCAACTTGGATTTCTCTCTGGGGAAGTCGGAGCAGCCCCACCAACCCTTGGATTGTAGAAAAACTGAAGAACTTTAAATCTGTCCTGCTACTGTTGTGGATTTGTGACTTCCACAAAGATAAGCCACACAGACCAGGCTCTATCCATGAACGTGCTGCAGTAGTGTGCTTTTCCTTTCCTCCTTCTAGCCCTTTCTAGACCCTCTATAGACTAATCTGCACTCTCTTCGCCACCATGTCAAAAATACCCTTAAAAATCTTCACAAGCACCTCTTAATGAAACACAAGCATTCAGCAGGTAGAGAATGAAGTTGGATTCACTGAAACAACGGCGAAAAAGAGGAAATATGTGGAATTTGAAGATTAGTGTGCAGCTCTGGTCTCAATCCCGGTGATGTTCAGCCTCCAACCATCACTACTGACCACCTCTCTCATAAATCACCTCCACACGGCAAGCACTGCAGAGCGTAAGCCTCGTCCAGACGATCAACGCCTGTTTTTCAACACATCTCCACGCCTGCTCTAACATGTTAACTATTAGACTTGGAAACTAACAGTCTTATTTCCAGGACATCCATATGGCATATGGTCAAGGTCAGTGATTAGACTGAAAAAATACTGAAAAGGTACAGCCATACAAAGCTGGGACACGTTTAGACACAGTAACAGGACTAAGCACCACAGATTAGGCTGCGATGATGACGATGATGCGATGGCTAAACCGTGACTGAAAATCCTAATTTATTGCCAGTATTTTTTGTGATGAGTCGTGGTCATGGTGTGAGGCTGTATAAATAATTCTGTACTAACATGTTCTAATTCAGTCTCAGTGGGAAACACAAACTGTCAGGCGTCAGTAAGCCAAACACAGTAACACACCACGGACACTCCAGTTGCCCATATGACACCAAGCGGTTTGCTGGCAGCAGTAAGACCTTTAGCTCACTGAGGCCCGGGAATAAAAAAAGATTTGTGTCCCTGGCTAGCTGCATCTACATGTGTGCATCAGGGACTGATGTAGTTCTTAAGTTTTAACTCCAGACTGCTGTAGTTTATGGATGTTTGCACTTTGGAGTCCGTAAATATGCATTAGATAAAAACTAGAAGCGTGTCTTTTCGCAAGGCTAGACTGAATTCAAAATAATGAAATAATGGACTCTGTGTGTGTCTGAGAATGAGGAGGCATGGCCTAGTTTGGACGTGTACCGCTCCCCAGGGGGGTTCCATTATACACGAGTCAATTCTTAGGGCCTTTTCCTGACATAAAGTAAAGCCTAATCCTCACCCTTTAACCATCTGCTAGGGGTAAACCTTAAAGTATAGAGTGACATGAACACCAGCAAAAGACGGACTAATAATGCTCTTAAAAGATCTGTTGGAGGGGGACATTCTGATTTCTCATATGAAATCACAAAACACTGACTCTGTTTCAGGACTTGTAAATCAGACCATTTGTTTATGCAAAGCCCCAGACAGTACACCAGGCAGAGTTGGGATTTTTAATGACACAGCCCACAAGCACCATATGTTTCCTTTAGTCTCAGCCAATGACCTGACAGCAAGAGAGAGAGCGAGAGAGAGAGAGCGCAAAAACCACTCAGGGTGCAGATAAAGCATGTACTGTCCAGGTGGACACAAGCAATTCACACTGCGAAGACCGAAAAAGAAAAAAGAAAAAGCATCCTGTGCAGTTTTAATGTGAAAAGGCTACATTTGTATGTCTAAACTGAAATCAGTTCTAATGCTGCTGAATGAATCATCTCTACAGCCAGCGTGTCTCCTATTGGCAGCTGTGGCATACAGCAAAACCTCCCTCTGCTGAAGGGTGAGGAATCCCATTCAGCAGTTTTTTACTCTTTAGCAGACCATCCAAGATGGAAGCTGGGCAAGCTATCCCTCTATAGGTCAGAGGTCCCCAAAATGAATTTCAAACCCACGCCCTCGGGGTATTTTGCAGATGTGAGATGGAGCGTGATGCTGATTCCATTGATAATCCATTCGCCTGAGGCTTACCACTTGAGGGGGAATGAATGAGGGAGGGATGGTGATTCAGAGACACACCACTCTCCCTGCTCTTATCGGAGCTTCTTACAGCATCAGTTTTGACTTCCAGATGTAGGGAGTATGGGACATTCCTTTTCCAGGGTGGGGTGATCATTGACAGACAAGGTGATAATGTAGCAGATGAACCACTGTCAGCTTCCATGAAACCATGGAAAAATTCTGGAAAACTGATTTTACTGTGCCTTCTTTTTTAGCCCATACCTCCAGTTTCTCCTAAAGGAAAACCTGTGTGAGTGTGGATGCAGGACGCATTAACGGTAGATGTAACGAGCCCCACTGCTGCATGACTACACTTTCTTTTCTGTACCTCTTATCACTGTTTTTACCGCTGATCCACTGCAACCATTAAAAAAAATATGTGTCAATAACTGCCTCTGGCTTTTCTTTAAAGGGAAGTGTTTGCGGCCTAAACCGCGGTCTCCTCCACGATCATTAGCCCTGTTAAACTTGCAAGGCTCATTGGAAGTTTGCCTTGCAGGCTTTGCAGCTGAATGGCGTGTCCGAGGTTGCACAGAGAGCTGCTTTTTTCATTGCATCTCAGCAGTAGGGGATTGTCTTTATAAAACCCACTTATCCCACCTATGTGACTCTATCCACCCGTGCAAACTTCCAGCCCCTATCCACCCTGTGTCCGTGTCAATCTGAGGGAAGCGCACAGTTTGTAAAAGGAAAAAAAGAGAAAGAAGGAAAGAAAAAAAATCCCTGCACACACGAATGAGATCAAGAGGAAGCAATGTGCAAACTTACGTGAAAACGAAAAATAAAGTGGTCGATCCCACCAGGAGTGTGGCAGCAGTGGACACTGGGATGTATTTGGTGGGTTTAAATCTCTTTCCAACGCTGTTGGGCATTCTGTAATTTCCACATTCCTTAATTATTTATTCCGATTGGAGTCGCATGTAGAGAAGAAGAAGAAAAGGGAGCTCCAGTGTGGTGTGTGAATGTGCCTCTCTATGGCCGTGAAAGGTACACGCAGTCCGTGCTCGCTATCGCTGAAGCTGCATAGATCCTGAGACAGAGGCAGTAATACACAGAGCCTGTGAAAGCCTGGAAATCCCACCCTTACAATCCAGCCCACTGCTGAGGTCACTGAACCGCTCGAAAAGGTGGAGCCTCGGTGCAAACCCGGCAAGCGTCTTAATCAGAACCAATTGCAAGGAAACATATTTGCGCAAATTCTTTCTCATCATTTTTTTTTCACCCACGAGATTTTGCTGATACGCAGTAAAATCCGCTTTCCTCGAAAACGCTCACGCTTCACCTCAACAATCTGCTTTCATTAATTTAATGCAAACCCGTGTGTTAAAGTTTAGGGAGAGGACGCTGCTTAGCTGCACGGTGCAGGTGGCTCTCACCCGTATGTGCAACAGTCATGTGTAACACGCCTAGTTCTTAAATGTTTAAATACTGCTCCGCTTAGCTCCGAGCACGCACACAACACCCAGCAGTCAGAACTGATTTGTCCAACGACTCAGCTTCCACTCTTAAATTCAGCATCCTTATTATTTTTCCCTCAGCACTGACGATAGGCAGGAGCGAGCTCTTGTAAGGGAGGAAATTATGTGCGGCTCCTACGATGATTTTATAGTGAAATGGTGCAGAATGAATGGAGTTCACAGAGCCTCTTCATTCAACGGAGCACAAAATGCCCAAACTGTGGACCTTACTGCGAAGTTAGGGAGCTGCGCGCCCTCACGCGACAAAATCCCATATTTCAAGCGGGAGAGCGAAGGCTGACTGTTTTGGCTCATGTGGGACACCGTAAAGTTTAGAGGAAACTGATTAGTCTGCTTTCGCTTGTATCGACTGTATTTTTAGTATCCGTCCAACAGCCGGAGCTCAGCAGGTAGTTGCGCTTAGAGAACATATTGGATATTTTTTCTGTTCCTTGCTGTAAAGTTGGAATTAGAAGTCAAAGACCCGTTTAACAACAGCAGAGGCGGGGTGCACTTTGTTAATAGCGCGACTGTTAAGCACAGCTAATTAGCTAGCATTAGTTTCCTTGTTCTGCGGCTCGCGGGATGTCATTCAGGAAAACTTTGAAACTTATTTGCGGCTTCGCTGGAGGCTCCGCAGTCTTGGTTTTCGCTGCCGCAGCCGCCGACTCCAGCGGGTTTTTTGGAGAGCAGGGCGGAGAGAGGGTCAGTCGGTGGTCGAGATTCGCCGTCCTTCAAGCTGCCCAGCCGGCGTTTACCCCTGCCAGCCACACGCCAACCCCGACCGGACACGCCTGGGACTTCAACTGGGACAAGTAAGTTAACGTACATGTGTTGTGCCGTGACCCGCTGTTTGTTCTGACGTGGCTGCCACCGTTATATTTCATCCACTTTTCTACCTTTATATTGAACGTCATACCAAACGGGACCAAGCTGCTATGTAACGGACTGAAGCAGGCATCACCATAACTTGGCAGTCGAGGTGTTTCCCGAATGAAAGACATGAGCATAATGACTTATGACACCGTTAAAGTCCTCTTGCATTGCCGATGGCCAAAAAAGTGTTGTTGTTTTTTAACTATTTAAAAGTCGGTCAGGCGTGGGTGTTATTCCCAAGCAGATTTAAAGTCAGTTACGTTAACCCACTTTTCCAGCTCTCACCTTAACCACGTGAGACAGTAAGCCACTTCTAATCTCAAAATCACTACGCTTGAACTTTGACCAGGAGAGATCCATCTGCTCTGACCAACGGGAAGAAGAAGGAGAATGCGACCGAAGACCCCACCTCGGAGCAGAACAACAGCAAACCGAAAGCTACACGCAACATCCTCCTCATCAGACACTCCCAGTACAACTTGAGCGGGAATAGTGACAAGGAGAAGATCCTCACTCCTTTAGGTTAGTCGTTCTTGTTTTTATCCACAGGAAACGTAATAGGCAGCCTGCATGCAAAGTAATGCTGGGAGGTAGCCTTGGTGAGTGCTGGGGCTGTTTGTTTTGCTCATACCCCGCAACCCCCAGATTTTCCTTGTTTCTGACAGAGCATTGTTGGAATGATCAGTGTCTCTCCATCCGCAGGCCGTGAACAGGCCGAGCTGACTGGCCAAAGGTTGGCTGCACTTGGATTGAAGTATGACGTGTTAATCCACTCCAGCATGACCAGGGCCACGGAGACAGCAAATATAATCAGTAAATACCTCCCAGGTAACTAGAAAAGGCAACACAGCCAACCACAAACTCAAGTTTGGTAGATTCTTAAAAAGTTACATTTAAAAGTTCTAAACTTGAAGTTGTCTTGTGTCCCTGTGGGTCCAGGAGTGGACTTGGTGAGATGTGACTTGCTGCGAGAAGGTGCGCCTATTGAACCGGTTCCACCTGTCACTCACTGGAAGCCTGACGCTGTGGTGAGAGAACCTACAGCCCATTCCATCTCTGGAGTGGCTGTAGGTTTGATATTCTTTCTTTTTTTTCCCCCCCGGATTTGCTGATACCTAAGGTAACTTTGTTGCCCACGTGTCTGTGCAGTTGTCCTGTCAAGTGCTTGTTGAGGCTTGCGGGTGCGAAAGTCAACCAATACATCAGTGCACTGGCATAGGAATGAATCATGAAAAGAGTTAATTTCCAAAATATTGGAAATGAGGAGTCTTGAAGCTGTTCAGTCTGGTTTTGTGTCATTATGTATATATTCACATGCTTTAAACAAGCTGGTAACTGTTGACAAAGGAACAATCCTATAAAGATGGATTTTTAATGTGAAAGTAAAGATAAGCTATTGCATTTCTTTAGAGACCGGAGTGCTGCTGCAGCAGTTTCATGTATTGATCTAGCGCAGGGGTCTCGAACTCCAGTCCTCGAGGGCTGCTGTCCTGAAGCTTTTCCATGTGTTCCTGTTGCAACACGCCTGAGTAAAGTTAGCAAGAGCATAGAACTTGACTGCATGCTGAAGTGGCAACCCCTAACCCTACTCAAGTAAATTTAAGTTAATGTAAGTGTTTGGGAAAAATATACTTCTAAAAGTACTTTTATTGCACCGTGTTCATTCACTCATGAGCTGCTGTAACATGAATCCAATGGCTGAATCACCACCACAGCATGCAGTTAAGGTCTATAGAGTCTTGCTAATGACCTACAGATTGTAATCAGGGGTGTTGCAACAGGGACACATGAAAAGCTTCAGGACAGCGGCCCTCGAGGACTGGAGTTCGAGACCCCTGATCTAGCGTTTGTTACATCTGCCACATAGTGGGCTTCTTTTTGGAATAAAACTCTTCATGTATTCCTACAATGCACACATGCATTGACTCTGCTTTGGGGTTCATACAGAACCCTTTTATGTGACAAAGGTGGCTTTCAACCTTTCTACTGTCCTCCAGCAGTACCACGAAGATGGAGCTCGCATTGAGGCAGCCTTCCGCCGCTACATCCACCGGGCTGACCCCAAACAGAAGGAGGACAGCTACGAGATCATCGTGTGTCATGCCAATGTCATCCGTTATTTTGTCTGCAGGTTTGTGCTGTCGCTGCTCAGCTGAGGCCAGACTTGTTGCTCTTTGCTTCGCTAATCGATGTATTCAAGCCATTTCACATAGGATTTCTAATTTGTGCTTCACTTGTGTCATTGTGCTCTCATTAAAAAAAGTTATTTCATTTAATGACATGCAAATGAATTTATAAGGAAACATGCTTTAGTGCTGGTTTTCTGCTAAGGGTACAGGAAGATTTCACTGCATCGTGGGGCAAATAGTCAGGGCCTTGTACTATAAAATTTTGGATGATAGTGTTCTTCCCTCAGTCAGAATATTGAAGATGGGTTGTGAATCAGTCTTCCAGCGTAACGATGCTCCAAAACATACCGGCATAGCAACAAGGAAGCGCCTGCTACCGACCAGTCAATCAGTGGCATGTCGTCTGACGTTACATTTTAGTACCTGCTCGGATCACCTGGAAAACCCTGAAAACTGTGGCGAGTCGATCCGAGTAGGTATAATGGAAAAGGGGCTATAAAGATTAGGGAGTGGCCTAGCCAGTCTCCCGATCTCAGCACTGTAGAAAATCTGAGCTGAAGCTTTGAGTTGCCAAGCAGCAGCCAAGAAACGTAAAGCATTTACAAAGTTTCTGTAAAGAGGAGTGGAACAAAATCCCTCCTTTTTCTTTATTCTTTGTATACATTTTTCTCTATAAAAGAGTAAATTATCATAAAAGTTATAGACTTTTTGGGGGGGGCGGCAGACTTTCAAATTTAGCAAGGGATCCAATAATTATTCCCCACCACTGCATAAGATATTGCCCATGCTGACATGATACTGAGATTACACAATACACTGCAAGACGTTTTACCCCTGAGCTTTTCTTCTTCACTGGAAATTGGTTAACATTTGCTTAGTTAACCCTCACTTATCTGATAAGCTCCACTGCAACAACTGTGGACCTCTGTTAAGGTGGGGGAATCTGTTAGCAGGAAGAGATTTGGCGCCAGTGTATTGATGCGTTACAAGAGGAGGCCTTGTGGTATATTGATGTATTGATGTTTTGATGTTCTGTCCCAGTCCTAAAGTCACTGAGCTTCAGTTTATCCTCTGAATAACTGACAAAAAGTAGTTTAAAAAAATCAAGATATTAGTTAAGGAATTGCACGATCCAATTTTTTAAAAAGAAAAGAAAAAAGTAGATATTGGTAACACTTATCATATTCTTTATTCCTCAGGGCTCTTCAGTTTCCTCCAGAGGGCTGGTTACGCATGGGTTTGAATAATGGCAGCATCACATGGCTTACCATCCGCCCCAGCGGTAGGGTGGCCCTCAGGACTCTTGGAGATGCAGGATTTATGCCCGTGGACAAACTAACACGGACCTGATGGGCTGACCCATGAAATGTTTCTCCTTAAGTGTCTTCAAATAAATTATGGTGTTGTTTTGTAATTGAACTCTGATGTTATCAGAGACTTTGTGGTGGTGTTGTTACTTCAGTGCCATAGGATGCCAGCAGAAGTGATTAACAGCTGCATAGCAACTCCTCCTGAATGTAATGAAGAATTTTTACACAAGTGACTCATTTTTTTCAAACCAAAAAAATAAATATTTGTAAAGCTGTTGAACATGCTATTAGCTTAACATTTCAGGATTATGTTGTGGTGCCATTGTAGTGAATAA